AATCATTGCACCTGCTCTACCTACACAGCTTGGGGGCTTTACTACACAGCCACATTATCCTTTATCCCTCTCGCTATGCATAGGTTAAAGTGCACATGTCATGATCTTTTAGAGAGTTACATTTAAAATTTAATTAAAGTACTTAACCTCAAAACTTAGATAACAAATCAAATTTTAATATTATACAAGTTTTAAGCTCTTAATTTTATAAGGAAATATTTAAATAAATCCTCAATTTCTCCTTGTATGATAATTGTGACATTTGTTCTCTAGGTCTTGCTCATTCTCTAATTTATTTACCACCCCTCTCTGAAGTATGCAGTTTAATATAAATTACTCATTATAATATAGATATTACAAAGGGAAATGAAAAGGGTCCATTTGGTATATTATATATTCTAAAAATGGTACATTTGTTTTTCTCACCACGTCTTGCATAATTATAAGAACTTAAGAGTTGAAAGTAAGAAGGTTTTATAACAATTTGCAAAACACAAAATCTGCCTTTCATAAGTTTATTTTAATCAGTATTTTCAGTTTTATTTATGCTATACCTCTTCTTCTTATTTCTTTTTTAATATGTGTTTCTCAGTTTTACACACACATACTCACATAAACTTATTTTACTGTATGTTAATGTTACCAATTGTAACATTTATGGAAATAGTCATCCGTGAAATCCATTTTCTTGTTCAAATTTAAAAGCCTGGTTATTTATGAAAACTTGTTTCTTTGGTGATACATATTTTAATTTATTAAATGTTTAACTCTTTTTCCATGGGCATCCTTTACTGTGCATGTAATGAGGTTTGTAGTGAGTTACTTTCAAAATTTAAATTAAACTACTTTTTGTTCATGTTATACCAATTAGTATGGCATGAAGTGGTAGCTACTAATCCATATCTTAAGAGTATATAAATTTTAAGTTCTTAATTTTATAAGGCAATATTTAAGAAAAATCTTTAATTTCCCCTAGTGTGACACACACGCACATGACACATTTTCTCTAGGTATCATCTCTGTTTTATCTACCACCCCTCCAAAATGTACAAAATTAAATGTAAATTACTTTCTGTAAAATTGTCATTCCTCAGACAAACCATAATTTTTATAGCTTTCAATTTTGTTTGAATGCAGAGCCGTCAAATAGAAAATCAGACCCCTCTTGCCACACCCACCTGTCACATCTTCTCTTTCAGGATTTGTTAATAGTTCTCTCTTATGGTTAATTCTATATTATTCATAACCAATAGAAAGCCAATGTTTTCATTTATCTAATAATGTGTTGTATAATGTTGTTTTCTGAACAGAGAATTGTCAATTTCACTTTTTGTACAAGCTTTGTTCCCAAGGGAAAGATAACAACTAGCTTGGATGAATTTGTAACAGCTCTTTTCGCATAGTTAAAGTGAAAAATTGTGAGAGTTAGGGGAAATTGTCTACTTTTTGCATTTTATTATTCAGTGTTCTTTAGTGCATTATTTAATTAAATAAAAATTGTTTAGTTCATTACTACCATTAGTACAACAAAGTAGGGTTAAGTGTCATTGACAATTGACAGCAGGAAAAAAATACTCGAGTTAAGTACTTTATTTCTTGTTTTTAATGTTTATTATCATAAAAGTAAATAAAATGTAAAAATAGGGATCTCGTTAGGTTAGTTAAGGCTAGATTAGGTTAAATAAATAATAATAATATGATAAAAATGTTTCAAGAGGCATACACAAGAGCAGCTTGTGAGTAACATAATTCGATAGCATGACGAGAGCTCCATGTTCCACAAGTGATTTACAACTTATAATGGCACAAATAGTAGTTAGACACAGTTCAAAGGGCAATAAAATAGTTAATTGTTAATAGTTCTATCTTACGGTTAATTCTGTATTATCTATAACCAATAGAAAGCCAAGGTTTTCATCTATCAAATGAAATGTATTTAGGAGGTTTTAAAGATCATGCAAATAAAATTTGAGATGAAAAAAAAGTGTTGCTAATCCTTCCATTCCATGAAAATCACTTTGCACTCAGACTAGTCTACAAAAAAAAAAAGACTTGATATATTCACAGACACATCTTTGTTAAAAATACTTTGCCAAAAATTGTGATTTTTTTTTGTTTTCAAAAGACTTGTAATGTTTACTGCAATTCTGCCAAATTTTGTGAAAATACACAAACTATATTAAAAGTCAGTAGTATCGAAACTATAACAAGTACAAAGTGGTTATATGATTGGTCAATTCAACCAAGTTTCTGTTGAGTGAGTTAATAACATTGCCTCATATGTAGGTTGTATTCTTTGTAAAAAATGTAGTTAGAGAGGTTTTCCTGTCACCTTTTTCAAATTGTTATAGTAATGTATTGGAAGTTTTTACTCATGAAAATATATAATGGGGTTGATTATTAACTATTTGCATATGGCTGTTTCAGTTGTCAACCATCTTACTTAGGTGTAAGAGTTTATTCAGCTAAGACTAATTTAAATGAAAAATGTTCAGGTGCTGTGATATTAGTTTACATTTAGATAATTATATTGAATTGTATTTTCAGCGTATTCATAGTGAGCGACGGGACTTCATGTGCACCACCTGTGGAAAGTCTTTCAAACAACTTAGTCAGCTTCGTAACCATCATGTGATACACCTAGACAAAAAGACCATCACAGAAAAAAGATGGTACAGTCAACAAACCTGTGATATCTGTCAACGGACTTTCTCTGACTCCAAATGTCTAAGAAAGCACCAACAAACAGTCCATAGTAAAGTGAAGCCCTATGTTTGCCACTTCTGTGGTCATTCCAGTGCTCGTAAAGCTATGTTGCAATTGCACTTGCGGCAACACACAGGTGAGAAACCTTTCCTGTGTGAAATCTGCGAATTCCAGACGTGTGATCATAATTCTCTTCGGCGTCATCGCATGAGACACACAGGAGACAAGCCTTACAAGTGTCCACATTGTCCATATGCTTGTATCCAGGTAAATTAAAGACATTTCTTAGTTACCAAACTGTTCGCTAGTGTACTCGTGACACACTTGTTTTTAGTTTGAAAAATCATTTATCCAACATGAGTTAAATTTTGTTTGCACTTTTCATGATGAGAATGGCTAAACAAAAACAAAATTTGTCAATTTTCATGAGAATCATATGAAGATGATGTCTAAATTTAGAACTTAAGCTACATTTTTTGGTTCATTTTGGTTGTTACTAAAACTTAAGCTTTTATTTTAAACAAAGATGTATTCTCTCCCCTCCCCCAAATAATAAACTGTCTAGAAAAAAATATAAACCTGACTGATTCCCAAGCATAAAAAAAATTGTATAACTAAAGTTGTTTTTTTTAAATTATGAACTGTATTTCCTCTGGGAGGCCTTAATCCTCTTGCTGTTGGTAGATCAAAGTGCACCTCATGACTTTTTACAGTGTTACATTAAAAATTTAATTAAATGACTTTATTATCAATGTATATAATATATTTGGCATCAACTGCTTAGTTAATAAATCAATTTTTAATACCATGCAAATTTCATGTTATTAATTTGAAAAGTAAATATTTAACCCTATTGCCACAGGCATCTTTTACTGTGCATGTCATAAGGTTTTAGTGACTTCAGTTCAAAATTTTATTAATCTACTTTTTGTTTATGTTATACCAATTAATATAGCATAAAATCTTAGCTGATAATCCATATTTCAATACAATTTACATTTTTAGTTTTATAAGACAATATATAAAAAAATCCTGAATTTCTCCTGGTGTGAGAAATTTGACATATTTTGTCTAGGCATGTCCTCTTCTCTATTTTATCCACCACCTCTCCAATAAGTAGGAAATTAAACATAGATTACTCACTATGATATCATCATTGCTCAGACAAACCATAATTGTTATAGACTTCAATTTTGTTTAGTTACAGAGCCATCAAATAGAAAATCAGACCCCTCTTACCACATCCTCTCTTTCAGGATTTAATAGTTCTCTCTTACAGTTAATTCTGTATTGTTTATTAATAATAGAAAGCCAAGGTTTTCATCTATCAAATTACTTGTTGTATAACATTGTTTTCTGAACAGAGAATTGTAAATTTCACTGTTAGTACAAGCTTCGTTCCTGAGGGAAAGATAACAACTAGCTTGGATGACTTTGTAATGGCTCTTGTTGCATAGTTAAAGAGCCAGAAAAATTGTGAGAGTAAGGGAAATTGTCTACTTTTATTATTATTCTATGTTCTTTGGTGCATTATGTAATTAGATAAAAATTATTTGGCTCATTACTATCATTAATATAAAAAAGTAGGGATAAATGTCATCGACAATCAACAGCAGAAAAAAAAGAATACTCTAGTAAGTATTGTATTACTTGTTTTTCATGTTTATTCTTTATTTATCATTATGAAGTAACTAAAATGTAAAAATAGGGATCTCTAAGTTAGTTAAGGTTAGATTAGGTAAAGTAAGTTATAATAATGTAATAAAAATGTTACACGAGGCATGCATATCAGCAGTTTGTGGGTAACGTAATATGATAGCATAACATATTACGTAAGCTCCACATTTCTCAAGCGATTTACAACTTACAATGGTATGAAAAGTAGTTAGACATGATTCAAAGGGCAATAAAACAATAAAATTTAATTATAAATAGATGTATACTGTTACAAACTTAGAGCTACTTAGGATAAATGAATGTAGTTTCATGTTACAATATGAAGTCACTCTAGAAAGAAAAAAAAGGTAATTTAGATATATTTCGTTTTTTTTTTTTATTGGTGGTTACTAGGACAGTCCAACTGACCTAAGTTGTATAGAGTTAGGATAGAGGATATAGCATAAAATATAATGTTTTACTGAGAAACTTTTGGAATGTACTTAAGAGGTTTTAGAGATTACACAAATGAAATTTGAGATCTTTGAGATGAAGAAAATAATTTTTAATTTTAGCATAAAAATCACTTCACACACTGACAATTCAAAAAAAATACAGGATATTTTCACAGACAAATCTTTTTTTTTTAGTTTATTTAAAGTGCTTCACGAAAAAATGACTTTTTTGTATGTGAATTATAATGTTTACTGAAAGCCTGCCAAATTTTGTGAAGATATACATACTATATTAAAAGTTAGTGGTATCAAATTTATGAAGACTTTAAATGAGTACAAAGTACAAGTTGACCGAGCCCATGTAGAGAGAGTTAAATAAATTCTCAATATGCCTTTGTATGTGCAATGTGACATTTGTTTGCTCCAACTTGCTCATTTTCCATTTGTTTTCAATGCCTCCCTCTGATGTCCTGAGTTTAGTGTTAATTACTGATCAAGTATATGTTTTAGTAAGGCATAGTCTTATTTTTATATCCTTTAACCTTCTTTATTTAGAGATATAAATTAGAAAGTTAGGTCCATTTGACACACCCACTTATCACATCTTCTCTTTCACAAATGTCCAGTAATTCTTTCTGAAATTTTCTATTACTTCATATGTGCATCACATTAAAAGTTACAGTGTGGATACTTTCATGGTTACCTGTTGGTTACAAGTTTGGTCAAAATGACCAATCTCTTGTCGAGAGTGTTAAGCAATAAACTTACTTTCAGGAAAATACTCATAAGATCAGAAAGTGTAGAACCTAAAAGAATGCAAGCTTAACATACATTTATCTCAAACTTTAAGATTGCCTAAATTAACTTTTACTATTTATTTTTTAATTGTTTAACTTTTAGTGCTTAGTCAGATGTGTGAATTTTACTTATTAGTTTCATAGCAGTGACATATTTACAGAAAAAATATAATTGTAGTATGTTTTGGATTTGTGGGATTCACATCATTAAAGTGCAATTTTATCTATATTTAACCACTTTTTTGTTAATTGTACAGATAATACATAATTACAAAAATAAAGAACATTGCTTACAATACAGTGTTTCATCCTGTTCAAGTGGTTAATGTTCATCTGACAGTAAAGATTAAATTCAGCAGCTACCACATACAGTTCTTGATTGTTGGTTATTCTGAAGAAGCACATGATTTTCCTTTCTTATTTCAAGAATCTTACCAAACTTTGTGAATTTAAATAATTTCATTATGGTAAATTAATATTACAGTTTTCTAAGCAATCTTCTTAATCTTTATCAGTCTAAGAGAGTATATTTCAATCTTTTACTAAATAATTACACATTAGCAACCTCAGTTTTGTAGATGAACTTAATCTTCATTTAAAGTATACTAACACAAGGCATTTTTTATTATTCCACGTACATCAGTAATTTTCAGATATATTATAAGTTAAGCATAGATACCTTTGTTTGCGTTTTTGTAAACTACAAACGTATCCATATACCACATTAAGCTTATAACATATGTATTGAATGGCACATTGCAAGGTTCTCTTTATTGTGAGGATTTCTCACTCGGATATCCTCTCTTTGAAAAGCATTTTTTGGCAGCTTTAGGTTGTAGACCGGTCCAGTTGCTGTGTGAGTATTCACCTGGAATTATTGTATTATCCTTTGTAAAAGCATTGTTATTGGATCCTATGCTGTCTCTTATTTGTTTAACTTTTTTTTTCTTCATAATTTCATCTTTACTTTTGTAGTAACTTGTGTGTCCTATGGTTTTTAATGTTCTGTGAAACAAATGAAGCTGTGTGTTTAAATAAATATATCAACTATTTAGCAGCTCAGTTTTCAGTTATTCGGCAAAATTTTAGGTCTGTAGAAAAAGCTAGTCAAATCTGTAGATAACATGCCTTATCATTTAAGTTATATTTGACCATTAAATAGTTACCCAAGCAATAGGAAGAAAGTAATTAGACTGTACATGATTCCCAAGCACTTGCAAGAAATTTTGAATATGTTCAGTTCAAGATTCAGAATACACAGTGTTAACTTTATGAACTCAGTATGGGTTGTTGAATTCTATCTATATTTGATTTACTTAAAAAATTTTACTTGGTTTATAAAAGAAACAATGTCCCTATGCATCACCATTTCAAAATGTTAAAACAATTGTGTGGTTTTAAAATAAAAACAAAAATTTCTTATAGAAAGAAAACCCTGTTGATTATGTAATGACAAACTTTGTGAGATTTGTGCCTGTGTGTGTGAATTACTACATATTAAGGTCCTTTTTACAATAACTAAACTGTTGTATTTTGAAGAGTTTGCAGTTTAAACTATGGTTAATGGGAAAATATAAACATTTCATTGAAATGCTGAAATAATGCAATTGTAAAAACTCCTTGTAATTTCACACGAATTTGTGAATCTCATTGTTATTATCCACAATGAATACCTCAAGTTTGAAATCATTCATTAATGTTAAGAAATGTTAAGTTGCTCTTCCCTAATCATAAATGCCCTCATGTATCATTATAATGTGAGTATGGGTTTGAAGGTAGATGTAATATATTTTATATAAAATCAAACTATTAGAGCTGTCTGTTGGCCACAAGTTAAGTATTTGGAAGTTAGTCCATTAGTTGTTAATCCTCCCATGCTAACTTGGCCATCTGGCTGAAAACATAAGTGTCAGTAAAGATAGCTGTTGCTAACAAGCTGAGTATTTTATAATCAATGCCTAAAATGTGTAAAACCATTTGAGAATTTAAAATTTATGGATTTGGTTTGATGATCGTCTAATGGTGAAATACTATATGATTGTTAATGGGGTTAAGAAGAAAGTCTGTTTACCAAAAGTTTATATCAGCTATGCAATAAAAAGTGATAATTACAAACATCAACTATGAAATGCTAAATTCTTAAACTGGGTAACTCACTCAGTACATGATTCACATAGGCTACATTGTGCCAGTCAAGCTCCTCCATTATTCCCAGTTATTTTTTGTACTCCAAAACAAATTATATTTGTAGACTAACCCATGGTACTTGAGCACACGTACCGCATTTGGTCCCACTAACTTCTGAGGGGGGCATGAACATTGTTTGAAGCATGGCACCCCCATGATCCCGAAGGAAACAAGGAACACAAAATCTGATGCCAGAATCGAGTCAGTGATCCTGAAACATACCTTTAGATCCCCGTCATGCCTTGATGACCTTCTAGATGCAATTTAGCCCCTTGGTAGAGAGCTATGCCATATAGATAAGAACACCTCCAAGGTTGCTTGAGTCAGCCTGACATGTTTGGTCCTGCTATCTCCAAAACTGTTTGGGGAGTTTACTGACAAGCAGACTAATTCAAAAACAGAAATGATGTATGCTACACCATAAAACTTAAGGGCAAGTATGGGAAATTCCATCTATATATCAGTCTGTTATTAGGTATGTATACACTACATGTGTTCTGTTGTGAGAATCAGTGGCTCTTCCCATTCTTTGTGTATTTTTACTTAATCAAGAATACAGTATTTCAATTTCTGCTTCAGATCTGGTTATTTGACATGGAACATTGTTTCTTCTGGTGTATATATGCATGAATTTATAATAAGCCTTGGTATAGCCACTCCTTATACTTCTGTGGGTACATCATTGTAATTCTCTCAAGTAATGTACTGAAGTTGATTGCAGCCTAAAGAAAGTTGGTAGTAGCCATATGTGCCATCATCAGGTTGTGAACATTTCATTAGCTGTTTCATGTTGACAAGGATACTGCACAGTCTGAACAACGTTACCTTGAACTTTAAAAAAAAAACTAAGATCAAGATTTAAAATGTGCAATAAAATTTTATTTGGCCAGCGGTGAAAATTAAAAAGAATGTACATGTTGTGATAGTTATACACTACCATCATCAGGAGTAAAATCCTATGTGACAAGAGGGTAGTTTTATAAAGAAAGGGTTTAACTCGTTGTAATCTCTCAGAGTGGTATGAGTATTGTACATAAGAAATCAATAATTCTTTCGAAAATTGTGCATCATCACTGCTAACCATTCATCTCTAATATTCAACTCACTTTGAGTATAAGGTTCACTTAAAATTATTGTTTCATGCCATTGTAATAAATGACCTGTTTCAAGAATGTGTTCAGCAAGAGGAGATATTAGTCTTCTTCTTTCCTTTTTTTTTTGTATGTAACCTTTAGGTTCATTAAGGCAATATTTCAAATTATACTTAGTTTGACCAAATAAAATTTTACTGTGCATTTTAAACAATAAACTTGTTTTTAATTTTTAAAATTTATTGCACAAGATGCTTGAGCTTTTGGAATTTACTATTAGTGGAAAAGTAAATCTGAATAACTAGATTCAACCAATTCTCACTGCTGATACTGAAATATTAAATCGACAGTACTGAATTTCTAAGTATTTTCGATTGAAAATTCACAAATCCAAGTAATAATGATGATTTTTTTCTGCTACTTCACACTTAACCTGGAACACTCTTCTCTATCCAAATATCATTTGGTGATGACTAAAGCTATATGATCTCTGATTGGAGGCAAATATTCACCTAAAAAAGTCAGATTTTTTCCTGTATCTTCAGTAAAGACTCCTAAAATCCTTACCAAATTTTTCACTGTGTCTGGTTGGTTTACAACAACAACATCCGACCTGGCATGGCCAGGTGGTTAGGAAGCTTGACTAGCAATTTGAGGGTCGCAGGTTCAAATCCCTGTCCCACCAAACATGCTCACCCTTTCAGCTGTGGGGGCAATATAATGTGATGGTCAATCCCACTATTCATTGGTAAAAGAGTAGCCCAAGAGTTGACGGTTGGTGGTGATGACTAGCTGCCTTCCCTTTAGTCTTACACTGCTAAATTAGGAATGGCTAGTGCAGATAGCTCTAGTATAGCTTTGCAGAAAATTTAAAAACAGACAAACAATACAACAGTAATTTAATAATGCAACTTAACAGACAAAACACAATATCAGTTTCAGTGTATTGGTGATTGATTCTTTCATCTGTTCCCACAAAGATGAACTGTTGTTCTTGCAATAAAGCTGCCAAATAATCCTTTCTTTCAATTTAGGTTTGCTAATGACCATCCACTAGTTGCAATACGTGTAACATCAATTTTATTGGTTTCACTTATGACTGTTGTCCAAAAAAGTTAATTTCTCCTTTGCCTTATTTATAAGAGTATTTGTAGGTAGTCTCTCTGTTAACTCAAGAAACCAACTTTTTTCTGCTAACACTGCAATTATTACTACCATAAAGATTTGTCTTTCTTCTCTCATCAACACAAACCCACATATTGACTTCACAACTGCTACTTTTTCTATCTGTACCAGTAAATGTAATACGTATATGTCTGTATATTTTAGGGGATTGGATGAGAACTTAACTTTCCTAAGTTTATGTTGCAAGAATCTGCTGAATTATGATCATAATGTACCCACCTAAATAAAGAGTGCTTTAATTTATCACTGTTGTTGATATAAAAATATTTATACTTTATTGAAATTGATTGTAAAACAGTGAATAAAATGTGATAAAATACAAATACAGGCTGTTGTACTATTCCCGGCAAAAGTGCCACATGACAAATGTGTCAAAATCAAGGTTTTGGCTGGCAAAGGCTGCTTTATGTAGCAAATTAAGGTGAAGTTTCATGTTTTAATAGGGGCTATATGGAAACTGAAAAGGTTACATGAAACTAGCACTTTTGATAATAGAAGTGGTTAAGTGGTAAAAAGCCAAAACTCATCAAAACGTGCACTAGTGTTACCATATCCAAGAATGTAAAACTAGCCTTTACAAAGTCACCTGTCTTGGCTGTGTTTTAGTGGACCAGTATTTTGTAAAATGCAGTCACATTTCAGTTATAATACATCATATATGCATGTACATTATTACTAGTTACAAATAAGTTCCAAAACTTATTTTTCTTAAAACATAGAACAGTAAATAAAGAAGTATAGTAAACAATTATCTCTTCTAGTTACTAACTTTGTACTCATTTACTGCTTGCCGTAGGTTGCTAAGCATTATCAAATTTTGCACGTGGAGGATGTGAAACGAAATAATTTTTTTAAGGTTTTTTTATGCATATACATTGTGAAATAAACAAGAAACATAAATTACTATATCAATACTACAGAATTCCACTATAATTTATCAAGCTTAGTAACTAAGCTTATTTGGATATAAAAAAAAGATATGAAATTTCGAAGCTCTCTAACGTCTTACCTTACTTTTTAGCTTTCTTTACAAAAGGGAGGTGATGCAGTCAGTGACTCTGAAGCACATCTTGTTCTTTCTGAAATCACTGTAGTCAGTCTTTTTCTTGAAATATTGGCCTATAACAGTAATAAAGTATTACAAACTCATTTCAAATGGTTTGTAATACTGGTTTTGTTTACAGAGATTGATTTTTTTTCACACCCATGTGATGACATAAAGCTTTATTTGGTAACTCTGACGTGAAGGTGTCAACCAAGATCTCTTTCCATTCTACTGACATGATACATAACCATGAGAAGTGTCTGCACAAGTGGGTAGTTAATCACCAGCACCTTGGTTTTAGCCTTGTAAATTGTACAGATTCAGTGCCACTTCTGTTTTTCATGACAGTCTCATTACAAGTTTCTTTTAAGGAATATATTTTGTGTTATCAAAAATGGGCCTAGTCGAGCTCAAAAGAAGTCATTTAGATGCTTTCCTCTTTGTATGCCCATTTCATATCTAAATTTATTTGAGCTTCAAAATCTATCCAAAACCATCCTTCATCATTTTTTGAACAACAATGATTAACTGACTTAAAGATGCAACCTCTTTACCATGTGGCTAAAGTTTAGCTCAGAGACAAAGTACTACCCGTGTGTGCCACATCTAACCAACAATAGTTCTGAACCATAAACCATAATACACAAATGTCAAGAAACATTGTCTCCTGTCTCTCAGTAGGTATTCTATTCTTATGCAACATCAGTGGCTGATAGCTTTTTTTTATGGCATAATACTGGATTATTATTATGCATGTTATAACTACACCATATGTGTATGGGGCACATTTCATCATTAGAAAATTCTCTCGTTCATGGTCTATGTATATTATCTTCATATAAAATTTATAAGAAAGTTGACAAAGTAACCTGAATTGGCCATGTATAGAATATCATGCTTTTGCTAAGATATTGTTGACGAAAACCCTTTACTTTCAGGACTTTCAATTTTTGTATTGATAACAAGCCAACTGTAGTGGGTACAGTTGTACTGAATTTTTTTTTTTTATTACTAAAGTTGGCTGTCTGTTTTTTGCTTAGAATTTTGTCCAAAATTGAACATGGAAGAGAAATTAAAAACAAACATATATATGTATGTAGCCAAAAAATTTCATTACATTACATATTTAAACTTGAAATTATTTTCATTTCTCATATAATGAAGTGAATAACCAGTATATTTTCAAAATCTCTTTTGTAGAAACTACTGAAGACTTTTTTCTTCATGAAATATATACATATCTCCAGCTTAAATATAACTGAATTATGTTTTGTGAAGTCTTAAATTTTGATGTCAAGAATTTAACAATATTTAAAGTATACACCTTAAAAACGTATATTGATAGGAAAGTTTCTACATACACACAATTAATAAGTTGATAATAGTAATTGTTTTGCTATATAATGAAATAATTCCTTTCAACACATTTCTAAATAATTAAAACAGATCACAGATTGTTAAACTGGATTGTTGTTTCAAAGTTTTATCACTTAGCATTATATTCCCAGTGTATAGCGGTTTATTGGTTTTCCAGTTATTGTTTTTTAGTTTAACAAGAAATCTGTTATTTTTGAGCTAAGGGACCATCTGGACATTTAAATCCTTATCCTGTAGGTTTGATATGCAGTGTACTTAATTATAGATGAGTAATTTTCTTTCTGCACTTCATATAGATATAGACCTTAGCTAAAACATGTGAGTCTTATTAAAGCTTGTCACAATGTATTATCAGTGTGTAATTAAAAGAAAAAATTTTGCTCTTTGATGGTTACTTAAGTATAAAAATTAATATTTGAGTAATAACAGTATGTTTTACATTTTCAGGCAATATCATACAAAACACATCTGAAGAACAAACATCCAGGTTTAGGTGGACTCTTTGCTTGTAACCTCTGCCCTTTCCGTTCTGTAAGCAAGGATAACTACGTTAACCACATGTCTGACCACAAACGAGGAGCTATACCTGCAAATAAAAGCAGCAATCAGACTAACAGTACTGGGCAAAATTCATCTAATGGTTCACAGGAGATGCAGCAAGATTCTGCTGGGCAGGTTATTAATACACTTCACTTCTCAGATACAACACTACAGGAACTGGAAGGACTGCTTCCTGGCAACATCACTGCTGCACAGTTAATCTACAGTTGTCTCACTGCCTTGAGTAATGATGGTCTCCCCGTCAACCTGCCACCTGGTGTCACCACCACCTCGACTGAAGATGGTTCGCAAACCATCACTATCCAGGTTCCTGCTACAACCCAGCAAGGTGTTGGAGAAGCTGAACATTATTATTTAACGATTCAACAACAAGATGGTAATACCAGTTTCCCAATCTCGGCAGCTTCAGAAAACTCTCACTCTGCAGCTGAAAGCACTCAAAGCATTACTGATGAAACTGCTGGGGAACACCGGAAACAGGTTTCAGGGACCTATGTTACTCCTGATGCTTCCTCTCAGCAGGATTCCCCATTAGCTTCAGTAGGCGTGAGTGAGCATGCCCTCATTCCACAAGCTGCCAGTTGTTAGTGTCTGTGAGTGCAAACATTCTTGTGTTAAGCTGCTAACTTGTGTTTGAGGACAGTCTAATTCCACAAGTTACTAACTCAACTATTTGTAAGTGACAACATACAAGCTCTTAGTGACTGAGAATACTTTCCCATTGCCTGTTAGTGTTTGTAAGTGTGGACACTCATCATACAAGCCGCTATCTGTCTGCTTCCATGAGCCAATAGTTTATGCATGTCTAAAAAACAAGATACCCAATGCAGGTTGGTGTTAATGAGAATGTTGAATTTGCTAACAGCTAGTAGTTGGTGTTTATAAATAGAGAAAACTCATCCTTCAGTTTTGCCAGTTGTCTATCTTTGATTGGAAATTGTGAACAGTCCATATTACCAGTGTCAGTAAGTAATGTATCTGAACAAGAGAACAACTCTTTTACAACTTACTGGCTGTTAGTGTATGAGTAAGTTTATGTAAGTAAGAATATGTACATCACAGCCTGTTACTTTCATGTAACAAAATGTCAGTTGTTAATTTCTTTCACCAAGAGTTCTTCTAATGCAAGATGCTGTTTGTTAGTATCTGCCAGTAAGAACTCTTCTCTCACAAGATACTAGCTGTTAATGTCTTTCACCAAGAGCTCTTGTTGTGCAAGATACTAGCTGTTAGTATTCATCAGTAAGAGGATTTCTTATACAAGATATTAGCTTTTATAATTTGTCGTTAGGAGTTCTTCTCTCACTAGATGCTAGCTTTTAGTATCTGTCAATAGGAGCTCTTCTCTCACTAGATTCTAGCTGCTAGTATCTGTCAGAAGAA